AGAAGGGTGGAGCCTAGCATGGTGGGAGATTGGAATGAAAAGAGGAGGAATTGGTGCCATTCTGGGAAGCAGGGAACAGGGAGCAGGAGAGCCTGCCTGCCCTGGACCACGTGTGGTGCTGGGGAACCTTGCGAGAACCCTGTGGTCCCCTCATGGAACTCTGTGGGGTGAGAGGGCATGCGGAAACTGTGAGATGAGGCAGACCATGGGCAAAAGCAATCTGAAACGGCAGGCTGAGCCGTGCAGAGCTGGGTGCCAGGTGTTCATTTCTTTGTAAGTCCGTTCCCCACCCCCTGCCCCGCAAAGGTATAAACTATGCAAAATTCATATAAAGATGTGTTATGTGATTTGTCTACCCATGTCAGGAGCATGAGACCCTGAAGACAGTGAGGGCGGGTCAAACAGAGAGCGGGAGGGAGAAAATTCAGTGGGACACCCTTAAAGCAGGCTTCTGGAAGAGAGGGATTAAAATGCTGCGAGGGACAGAAAGTGAGGGCGGAGGAAGCTTGGGCACGGAAGAACAGGAGGGAAAATACACCACAGGAAGCCTGATGACGTTATGAAAATACCAACCGCCTAATGCAGTTAAAACAGTAAGGGCTGGGGAGATGGCTCAGCGGATGAAGGCGTCTGCCAGAAAGCCTGATGAACTGAATTCGATCTCTAGGACCCCACAGGAGAAAGAGTCAACTCATATAGCTGTTCTCTGTGTTAGGGTCCGTGACTCGGTGGGTCTCTTCAGGAGAACAAATGCACGAGTATGGAGATGCAAAATCAAGCAGAGTTTTATTAGGCCAGCTAGCTGGGGCTGACCGTCCTTCCAAGACACGCAGGTCTGGTTGGAGCGATCGACCCCGAGGCAATTTCAGGTAAAGATTATATAGGCTCCCACAACCATTACACAAAAGCCTGTGCTTATACGACCAATAGTTTCAAAGCAAGCATTTCACAAACCAATAACTTCAAAACAAGAAAAATGTTACAACTCCCTTCAGGTGTCTCAATCGGGGAGGGATGGGTGGTATGTGCCTGGCGCAGCCCTTCCCTGTTATCTTGTGTAAGCAGATATGCCTACGTGACATGACACAGATCAGACAGGCCAGGCTCCGGGGCCTGCAGCACTTGCCCCTATCTCCAGATGCCTGTGTCTCCAGTTGAGTTAATTGGTTACAAGCAGTAAATTCAGACAAGCAGTAAATTCCTCTTTCCCTAACATCTGATCACCACATGTGTGCTGTGCTCCCCATAACAACTGCTACAGTTTTAATATGCCTCAAATCTCATGTTTTGAAGCTCAGACCCCAGTGGAGCAATGTTACCTCACAGTAAGGCGGTCTTCGACAAATATGGATGTCAGGCTCTGAGATCTCCCAACCTCCAGAACAGTGAGCTTAAAAACACTATTTTGGGGGCGCTGGAGAGATGACTCAGCAGTTAAGAACACTGACCTTGCAGAACAGTCACATCCCAGCAACCACATGGCAGCTAACAACTGTCTGACTCCAGTTCCAGGGGATCCAATAGCTTCTTCTGTCATTGAGGGCACTGCACGACACAGGTGCACTTACCTCCATGCAGGCAATACACGCATACACATAAAATAAAAATAGTAAATAAAATATTTAGAAAAACTATTTTTTAAATGTTTTCAATAAATTATTAGCTATGCATGGTGGCTCACACCTTAATCCCAGCACTCAGGAAGCAGAGGCAGGGGGGTCTCTGTGAGTTCAAGGCCAGCCTTGTCTACATAGCAAGTTTCAGGTCAGCTGAGGCTACAGGGAGACCCTGTCTCAAAAAGACCAAAATAATAATAAATTTTGCCAGTGCTCTTGACTGCTGAGCCATCTCTCCAGCCCCATCTCTATTCCTTTTTATTTTAATATGTGTGTGGGATGACTTTGTGGAGTCAGTTGTTCCCTTCCACTTTTACATGAGTTCTGGGATCGAATCCAAACCTCCACTGTTTGTCAATCACCTAGCTATGGCATTCACTTAGAACACTAGAAAACAGGCCAAGAGCACAATGGCACATAACATGGGAGATGTGTTCATGGGGTCAGGTGTCCAGGAAGAGCAGAAACAGTGAGGACTCTGCTTGTGCCTCTGCCCTTGACCTCCCCAGCACCTACATGGTGGCTACAACCACCTGTCACTGCAGTTCCTGGGGATCTGACATCCTCTTCTGGCTTCCACAGGCACTGTATACATGTAGTAAACATACATACGTGCAGGCTAAATACCTATACACATAATATTTTAAAAAATAAAGAAAAAATTTAATCCAGAAAAATAGAAATCACTTGGCAGAAAAGCATTTAAATACCTGCCTTCACACAAAGTGAAAATGGACCAAGTTCTCCACCGAGCAAGACAGAGTATGTTGAAGGCTCAGAGTCTAGAGCTGTCCCATTTCTGGGAGTCAGTCATCTGCTGCATGACCACTGGCTGCTTAGGTCCCAGAGAGAAGGCTCTAGAAGTTCCAGGTACTCTGAGGAGACCCCAGAAGTTCTGTGACAGTTGGAGCCCTCGAGTAACGGGAGCCATTTTCTTTCCTTGCTTGGGAGAGGGTTCACTCTGCTCTGGACAGAAGCACGCGTTTGTGTGGATCCTGTGAATCCGGTGAGTGGCCGTGAATGGGGTTAGAGTGTCTGGGGCAGAGCCGAGGGGCCCTGGCGGGGAACAGACCCACCACTTGCCTAGCACAATCTCTACTTTCTGCTCAGAGCTGGCCAGGGGTTCAGGCTGGCCAACTGGCTGCCACAACCTGCCCAGCCCCATCCTCACTCAGGCTTCCGGGTACCCTCTCTGCCGCCCTCCTGAGCCAGCCCCACCTCTGTCTTCCAGGCCTGCCAGCTTCCCCGAAAGTCCAATCTGAGGGGCTGGTGCGGGGGCCATTCCTGCCCCCTCTCCACAGCACCCCAGGAGCTAGGACAGTTAACAGCTACCTCCTGGCTAGCACCTCAGGAAGTACATGGACGAATCTGAGGTTAGACCAGCTGAAGCTAGGACAGTTAACAGCTACCTCCTGGCTAGCACCTCAGGAAGTACATGGGGGACCCATGTACTTAAGACCCATGTACTTAAGAGACATGGGGGACCCAGGGCCTCTCAGATCACATACATAAAACTCCAGATCCACAAAATCAGTAAACCGAGGCTATTCTCTTCAACCCAGCATCACCAGCTTGGTGGTACTTGCAGGAAGGTACCCTTAAACACTCGGGGTTCCTGTTTCCATGGTGGGCGATTAGTTCAGCAACGGCACACGGTCCTCCAAGACAGGGCTTGACAAATGGTGTACATGCCACAGACATCAAGTGTGTCTCCTATGTGGCAGAGGTACCCACATCATCCCCTTTTGTTCACAGATGGGCCCCAGTCAGACAGGTGTGGCTCACAAGCCTCCCTAAGTTTCCCTCACTTTGACTCCACAACCTCACATGGAGAACTTGGAGGCTCTGGGCAAGTCCCAGGTCTCCGAGTACCACACAGTGCCTCCCCGCTTCCCACAAAGTGTGGTAACAAAGGTGGCTGAACCAGTTTTTCCACAGGACATGGCTTTGGAAACCTGTAACACCCCAAAAGCAACAGCTTTGGGCCAAAGGTCAGGACCCAAGTGCCTTGGACATGGCCCTACCGAAGCTGGCATCAGCAAGCACCGGGCCTAGAACAGGCAGAATCTGGTCCTCAAAGCCCCAGGGAAGTTGAGCAGCCCAAGTTTCTCCAGAAGCTCTGGAGTTTTGCAGCCCCTAGACTGTAGCGAATAGACCGGATCAGGCCATCTCTTCCTTAGCAGAGGCAGGATAGGCCCAGCCTGTCCTTGCAGAACTTGAACCCCATCCTCTCAACTCATCCCTCTTTCAGTTTTAAAGTTAATTTGTTTGCACTTTGATTTTTAAAACTATCAACAAACTATCGTGATGGCTGGCGGCTTGGTGTCCCTTAAGTGCTGTGTCCATAAGCGGGCCCCTCTACTGCCTCGAGTTTGGGACTTCAACGTGTTCTTTAAGGAGAGCCACTTCCCCCAGCTTCCCAGCTAGCCCCGTCCCCCGAAGGAAGACCCCGGCAAAGCGTTCCTCAGCAGCATCTGAGGGGGCCACGGGAGGGAGCTCTCTGCTTTGATTCCTTCCTGAGCATAAGGTGTGTGGGCTGGAGGGATGGGGAAGGGGCGGGGCAGGGACTGGGAATTGGATGGGAAGGCATGGGGATCCTCACTTCCGGTATGCTGGATCTGCTTCCTTTACCTTTTCTTTGCAATTGTGTGTGTGTGTGTGTGTGTGTGTGTGTGTGTAGGCCAGAGGTCAGCCTCAGGTATCATGTGTGTATGTGTGTGTGTGTGTACCCTCCTCAATGTTATCTTGCTTTTTGAGAGCCTCTCACTGGGCTCTGGGCCTCCCTGCTTCAGCAGAACTAATTGGCCAGCACACTCTGGGGACCCTCCTGTCTCCGTCTCCCCAGTATGGGGATTACAACCATGTGCTGCTATATAGGTTTTTTGTTTTTTGTTTTTTTTTTTACATGGGTGCTAGGAACCCAGGGCTTGACGCTTGCACAGTAAGCACTGTAGATGGAGCCGCTCCCCCGCCCTCCTTCACATCCTGATTCACATGTCGTAGGGTGCAGCATCTCGTGGCTTTGTGGACCTTTTCAGTCGCCCCTCACCCTCTCCGTTTGCCTTTCCCACCCCATCGCCTTCACACCGAGTGGCTACCATCCATCACTTCCTCTATGTCTCTGTCTTTTCCAGCTTCTTTAACTTTGTGATCACAGTAACACAAGTGCACACCACTTACCCGTGTGTCGTCCCCCCACACACACCGCTGCTGCCCAGCAGGACACGGACCGGTGACCCACATTCCAGTCATAGCAGAAACAATAAAGACTGATGACCCCTTTCCACCTTCTGGCGGGGGGAGGTTCTGGTAATGGATGGGGGAACAACTGGCGTGCCCCCTCTGTTCACTCTACAGAGGACTGTGGTATAAGAAAAGTTCGAGATGACACTCACACAAGATGTCAGAGTCGAGTTCATGGAGGCAGTGTCTTCCCTTATCCTCAAGTTCAAGGCAGACAAATGGAACAAACTGGTGGGAGTCGAGGAGAATGCGGCCTTGTTCACAGAATTCTTTGAAAAAACTGATGTCCTTGTGATGGTGTTGACGCTCAACGCTGCTGGCATGATCATTCCCTGCCTGGGCTTCCCAGACTCCCTCAAATCCAAAGGCGTTTACTTTATCAAGTCAAAGCCAGAGCGCATTACCAAGGACGACTACAAGTCCCAGCTCCTCTATGGGGACATCAGCCCAACACCAGTGGACCAGCTGATTGTCGTAGTGGAAGAGGTGTGTGAGTCTAGGCTTGGCTGGGTGGGCTGGGGCACCAAAGTTTGGGAGGGACCTTCAGTGAGGGGCCTAGGGCCTTGCTGCTCTGAGTGTGGTATACTGCCCAGCAGCCTCCCCTGGGAGCTAGTTGGACATTCAGGTGCCATATCTGGAATCCACATCTCCACCCACTGCCTTCCCCTCCTCTTGACATTGGAACGTCATGCTGCAGATGGCTCTGTCTTCTGGCTGTGGCCACATGTGTGGGATATCCAAGCACCAATAGATGGTGCCCTCAGTTCTGAGACCTTGAGTTAAAAAGAAAGGTGTGGTGACATTTTCTGCACCCTTATGTTGTTGTCATGCCCATGGGCTTGCCCTAGGTGGTGCGGTGGGACGGGGGACACCGTTTGGAGTCACTTAGCTCTCCCAGGCATCAATGAGCTGTGCTCATTTAAAGAGAAACATGAAGCCAGGGGGCCGTTCAGCTGGGCCTGGAGGCTGAGGGTTGGGGGTCTGCCTGGCAGGCCACAGTCAGCTCGGCTACCATGTGGAGCCCAACATGGGGGCCACCTGGACAGCTCCTCCTGAGGCCTCTGCCCCTGGCTTATAGATGGTGACTCCTCCCTGTGTCCTCATGGGGTTGTCCTCTGTGTGTCTGTGTCCTGATCTCTTCTTATGAGGACCTAAGTCCTATTGGGTTAGGGCTAACCCTCATATTGCCACTTTAACAACTGTCAGGCTAGAGAGATGGCTCAGTAGGGATGGTGCTTGCAGCACAAGCATGAGGACATGAGTTCTGATCCCCAGCACTCACGTTAAAAAGTGGGTATGGTGCCAGGTGTGGCAGCACACGCCTTTAACCCCAGAGGCAGGCAGATCTCTGTGAGTTTGAGGCCAGCCTAGTCTACATAGAGAGTTCTAGGCCAGCTGTGGCTAGAGGGAGACCCTGTCTCAAAAAAACCAAAAAAAAAAAAAAAAAAAAGTGGGTATGGCAATGTAATCCCAGCACTGGGAGGTAGAGACAGAGAATCTCCTTGGATTGCTGGCCAGGCAATCCAGCTGAATCAGTGAGCTCCAGGTTCAGTGAAAGACCCTGTGTCAAAAAATAAGACGGAGAAACACAGGAAAAGACACCCAGCATCGACCTCTGACCTCCACGTGGATTCACATACCTCAACATGCACGCGTGTGCGCATGCACACACGCACACACATTGTTTCTAGCTTCGGTCAGATGCCAAGATGCGAGTAGTGGGACTACGTTTAGGGCATGGAGACATAGCCCAGCCCACCACCTCAGTCTCATGTAGCTCGTAGCCCACACTTTCAGCAAGGAGCGTGTGTGTGATTACAAGGTGGTGGGGCTGCCCCGCTTGGCGATGGTTTGGGCCATCATTACTGCTCCACACATTCCAGCTACCGCATCTCCAGGCACGGGGGGAGGATTTAGTTCTCTCTTGGTTATGCGCACAGAAGTCTCCCAACTCGTTCAGGGGTCCCCACTCCCTAGAGCACAGAGCCTGGAAGAGCCAGGCAGACCCATGTTTCCTTTCAGGTCCTCTACTCTCTGCTAAACCAAACTGAGAACATGGATGGCTGGCCCCGGGTGGTCTCAGAAGACATTGTCAAGCAAGTCCACAGACTGAAGAATGAGATGTTTGTGATGGGAGGCAAGATCAAAGGGAAAACTCTGCTGCCCATCCCAGAGCACCTGGAGAGCCTGGATGGCACGCTGGAGTCCGTGGAGAGGTAGGCGGGTGGATGGGGAAGCACCTGAGTCATCGCTGTGAGCCACAGACACGTAACTGCAAGTTGGTTCTGTGCTTTGAAGTGGATGAGATGCTCAAATGTGTGTGAGGTCACACGGAGTCTGCAGTAGAGGGCACAAGGGCAGGAGAGGAGGAGGTGCAAGAGGTACCACCAGGCGGCGTCACCTGCATGCAGTCCCCTCCCGCTGCTTGTGCGTGGGGGCAAACACCGCTGGACACGAAGAGCTGCCACACACGTCGGTGCAGTCACAAGCACCACGCTCAGCTTTAAGATGTGATGCTGGTGGGGGAGACTGGAGAGTAAAAGGAATATTTGGCAGGAAGGTGTGAGTGAGGCAAGGCGGAGGTTATGGCGTCTCAGAGGCCAAGGGACTCTGAGATATCCCAGCCTACCTGTCGGGCTGCCATTTAAACTGCCCTGGTATGTGAGACTCTCAAAACTTACTAGCGTGACCATTTGTCCCTACATGGCTATCTGAGCGTGACAGGTCCTAAGGTTCATCTAGGCTGGTTCTCCATGGACTGTCCACTAAACCCCCACCATGAGCCCTGTGGTGCCCAGGTGCAGTCGCTGCTGGCAACCGTGTTGAACAGGTGTATTCTAGGGTTTCTGCCCTCCTCTTCCTCCTCCAGGCATGGGCATCTCTGACAGCTTCCACTCCACTGTTTGCTTCGGTGTTGTTCTACTGGGGGATTGCGGTGACTGGGGACCAGACGCGATGCTGCTGGTCGCTTAGGGTTCATTGGCAGCAAGCTGCCGGCGGAGGGGGGTGGATGAATGGATTCACTCCTGGAGGGCACACAGCTTCAGGGGCCCATGTTGTATGACCATGAGGGCATCACCCAACTTTGCACTTGGCAGGATCCCCTCCCTGGACAACTCGCTCCTGCATTCCATTGAGACCATCATCATCGACTGGTCCCACCAGATCCGGGATGTGCTGAGCAAGGACTCGGCTCAGGCCCTGCTGGACGGTCTGCACCCGCTGCCCCATGTGGAATTTGAGTTCTGGGACGCGAGGCTCATGAACCTGCAGTATATCCACAAGCAGGTGGGGCCTCACTCTGCCTGGAATCCCAGTCTTCACTGGGCCACTTGGGCCAGCCATCAGCTCAGTGCCACCCTCCCAGGGACCCTGAAAGCCTGGCATATACCTCAACTTGTCACGCTACCCTGGTCTGTGAGGTTGACTCAGAGGCTTTGTTTCTAACCCCCTTTCAGCTGAATAGACCCAAAGTGAACAGAATAGTTGAAATCCTGGAAAAAGCCAAAAGCTGCTATTGGCCAGCCCTACAAAACGTCTATATGAACGTCTCCCAAGGTGAGCCGCCACACATGAGGCCACTGACCCCAAGTGCTTCCGTCACTCCCCTGATTGGCTTCCTCAGCCCCCTCCTGAGGAAGATCCAATGAGATACCTGACCCTGTTTCTTTTTTTAATTTTATTTTTTATTTTTATTTTATGTGTATGAGTGTAATGCCTGCATGTAGGTGGGTGTGCCCATGTCACGCAATTCCTATGGAAGTCAGAGCGGGCATCAGGGCCCCTGGAACTGGAGTTACAGAGCTTGTTAGCTGCCATGTCCTCTTAACCGCTCTTAACCACTGAGCCATCTCTCCAGCCCCCCAGCCCTGTTTCTTATCGACTCCCCCGCCTACACTGACCAACCTTGTCCCTATGTACTCAGGACTGAAGGAAGCCAATGACATCGTCCTGCATCTGAAACCCTTGCGCATCCTGATGGAGGAGATGGAGCAGGCTGACTTCACAGTGGTATGTTGACAAAGGAAAGCTGCCTGTGTGGGTGAGAGAGGCTTATGTTTGCGGGGCACAAGGCTTTTGGGGAACCCCTTACCTGTCAGCAGATGCTGATTCCCCTGGGAAAACCTCTCGTGGAGGCCCAGTGCTAGTTGTGGGAAGAGGTGAATGGGGACATGGCAGCAAGGGCCGGCCCTTTCCAGCACACTGCACTCTCTCCCAGCTCCCCACCTTCATCACCAAGGTGCTGAGTACCATCTGCTTCATCTGGGCCACCTCGGAGCACTACAACACGCCGTCCAGGGTCATCGTCATCCTGCAGGAGTTCTGCAATCAGATCATTGAAATGGTGACAAATGTCCCCACCCTGGCACCCCCATGTGCCATTCCCTCCCAGGCCAAGGTGCTGGACTGAGCAGTCTTGGGGTGGGTGGTTTCCTAGAGTTCCTCCAGAGCCCAAGAGCCCCAGCACCCAATACTCAGCCAGGTGCTTTGTGGGGTCCTGCACCGAGCCACCTCCCATGACCCTCAACATATACTTGCCTTTCCCCTCCCTTTAACAAACAATGTTAGAGCATTCACCACCACTGAGTCGAAGGGCTGTAATCCAGGTAACCAAAGCATATTACAACCAGGTTTGCAGTCCATCCACAGCACCAGGAAGACACTGTGTATTTCAGTGCTGGTGATCCCCAATCTGTGAGCAAAATCCCTTTTTGCTGCAGCCTTGACATGGGATGAGGGTCAATACCAGGAAGCTACTCAGTCCCCAACAGCCCAGCACTGGGCATTTGGGTTAGGCTCTGTGCGCAAGGGACAGTCTCTGTGCTGAGCGCGTCGTTCCTTGTCCTGCACTTGCTGCTCTAGGGCACCACCCTGGAGGCTTCTCAAGGGTGTCTCGGGATTCCCATCTTCTCTTCTGTCTAGACTCGAACTTTCCTGAGCCCAGACGAGGTGCTGAAGGGCTTACAGGGCGAGATAGAGGAGGTGCTAAGTGGCATCTCGCTGTCCGTGGGCGTCCTGAAGGAGCTCTTCCATGCCTATGACTTCTGCTGCGCCAACATGAAGCTTTTCTTTAAGGTAGCTCCTGACTCACAGAGTGGATCTTGGCAAATTGGGGCTGTGTCACCCTAGACACTGGGACAATCTGAAGCAAATATGGCCACCTCTCTCTCCCCGCCCCTCCTGATCCCCTTCCTTCTCCTGAAAGGACAAGCCAACTGTGCCCTGGGAGTTCCCATCATCTCTTGCTTTCTCCAGAATGAATTCCTTCCTTCACCGTGTCCAGACTATTGAGGTAAAAATGGAATTTTGCTCTTTTACACCTCTACATCCCATGCTGCCCCCCACAATAGTCTTCCAGGGTTGGGCTGTTGCTCAAGTAGAACCTGCCTAGCATGCATGGGGCCTCCTACCTTTGGACCCCAGCACTGAAAAAAATTTCCAGGATCAGTTCCCCATTAGGACAATCAAAATGAAGGTCAAACACCTGGGTCATGGGGACACATATGCTGTTAACTGTCCTCAAAGAATGCTGGAGACTGTGTTGGAGAAATGAGATCATCATAAAGACATCAGCTAAGGGGATGATCCGAAGCGCATGGAATGCAAATGTGAATGGTGTGATCACTAACCATACTTCTGGGAAGAAAGACTTGCCATGGGCTAGCTAGGGAAAGCTGGGTGGCGGGGTCCTCATGGAAGAGCAACTGGAATGCGTGCCCATGTCCATTGAGCATCCACTTCCTGCCTGTGGGAAGCCTTCCAGAACGCAGAGACCTTAAAGCTCAGCAAGAGAATCAGAAACCACTGATTCCCTCCCAGCTCCTTCCAGAGCCAGGGAAGTTGAGGTCTGGGAGCATCTGGAGAGAGGCTCTTCCCAGTGTAGAGGCCCGATCACATCTCAACCTTTGGGGCCCCTTCAAGATGGCTCAATGGTAGGGGAGCCTGTCACCCAGCCTGATGACCTGAGTTCGATACCCAGGACCCACATGGTGGAAGGAGAAAACCAGCTTCCATAAAGCTGTCCTCTGACTCCCACACACAAACTGTGTGGCAGGTGCTTGCAAATGTATATATAATAAATTTTAAAATATAAGGGGCTGGAGAGATGGCCCAGTGGTTAAGAACACTGAGTGTTCTTGCAGAAGACCCAGATTTGAATCCCAGCATCCACATGGCAGCTAACAACTGTCTGTAACTCCAGTCCCGGGGGATCCGACAGCCTCCTCTAACCTCCTCGGGCATTGCACGACACGGGTGCACTTATCTACATGCAAGCAATTCACGCATACACATAAAATTAAAAAAATATATAAGAAAAAATCCCAGCCTTCATTTCCCCTCCTTCTTAACACAGGCCATTCTTGGATCCCTTCCTCTCTCTTGCCCCTTGTTTCAGAAACATCTGCAAAGCACATGATCACAGACACATGCACCCCATGTGGGCTCCATGTACACCCCACAGCAGTGACCCTGGGTGTGCGCCTTGTGAGCTCTCCTTGCTGGGGTTGGAGCTGGGTGGGTCCTTGTGCTGGATAGCTTTAGTGTCAACTTGACACACCTGGGTTGAGGGAGCCTCAATTGGGGAATTACCTCCATTGGTCTGGCCTGTGGCCATGTCCATGGGGCACCTTGATTGCTGAGTGAAGTGAGAGGGCCCAGCCCACTGTGGGTGGTGCCACCCCTGGGCAGGTGGGCCTGTGTTACATAAGAAAGCAGGCTGAACAGGGGCCGGGGAGCAAGCCAGTAAGCAGCGTTCATCCATGGCCTGTGCTCCAGCTCCAGCCTCCAGGTTCCTGCCCTGAGTTCCTACCTTGAGCTCCCTAATGAACTGTGACCTGAAAGATGTAAGCTGAATAAACCCTTTCCTCCCCAAGTTGGTACTGGTCAGAGTGTTTTGTCACAGCAATGGAGAAACAAACCAGGACAGTCCTTGAAGCCTGGACTTCAGCCCTGGAGGTGAGTGGAACAAGAGGGTGAACCTTTGCTTTTTCTTCTCTGCTAGGATCTTTATAAGACAGCCATCGAGTTTCTGAAGCTAGAGAAGATCGAGCTGGGAGGCGTGCATGGGAGCATCCACGGAAACCTGGTGACCCAGATTTACAACGCAGTCTTTGAGATGGTGAAGGTCTTTGCTGACTGCAAATATGATCCCTTGGACCCCGGAGACTCCGTAAGTCCTTGAGTGGAGACTGACTAATGTAGACTCAAGGGGTAAAATGATGCCAAGAGGAAGCAGGTGACGTCGGGGGAGAAGCTCCCAGATCTTTAAGGACTGTAACAAGTTGTCACAGAAACTAAGAAGACACAGTCCCCATGCCAATGAGCAGACTTATTTAGAGGATTTGGGGCATGGTAGAGAAAGGGATACTGGAGATCCAACCCAGGGCTTCACGCTCCACCACTGAGCTACACACCCAGCCCCGTATATTCCCGAACTCTTAACCTTGGAGTGTCCCAGCCTCGTGATGGCTTACAGAAACCACCTCCCCTGCTTGTCAACTGACTGCTTCATTTCCTTTTAGAGTTTTGATGAGGATTACAGTGACTTTGAGACCAAAATCCAAGACCTGGATAGGAGGCTGGCCACCATCTTCTGCCAAGCCTTTGATGACTGCACCTCCATCGAGTCGTCCACAAAGGTAGGTGAGCACCGTCCATCACGGCAGCACCAATCCCAGGGGAAGGAGAGATGCTGAGTTGGGCCCCAGGAGCCTGCATCTCAGGGTGGGTCAGCAGGGAGTGCCCCAGTGAAGGCATCTGGAGTGGTCTGGGCACCACCAGTGTGACGGTCATCTTTCTGGATGATGTCAGGACTGGGCTTCCTGGGACTGAGCTGGGGACCTGTGAAGCTTCCTACCGTTGCACACCAAGACTGCTCCCTTGAAAATGTGGGCTGTTCCTTTGTTGCTTAAACATTTTATTTGGTCCTTTTGAGACAGGGTCTCCTTGTAGCCCCAGCTGACCTGGCACTTGCTATGTAGACCAAGCTGGCCTTGATCTCACAGAGATCCGCCTACCTCTGCCTCCCGAGTGCTGGGACTGAAGGTGTGCGCCACCATGCCCAAATTTTAAACACTGTTTTTAAGAGTGTAGATGCAGAGGCCCTGAAGCCTCTTCAATTGCTGTGATGGATAAAGTCTAGGATCCATTGTTGGCTTGGGGATCCAGGCAAAATATCAATGAGTGCAAATTAATTCAGTGAATCTGCACAACTTTAAAGAAAAAATTATTCAGTGACACTTGTTAAAGCACAAAGAGGCTTTTATTTGGTAATGCAGTGGGAGACAGGAACCCCTAATGGGCTCAGCTTCCAGTATGGCTCATGCAAAAGGGATCAATAGATAAGGAACAGGTATGTCCAGTGTGTGGAGATGAGTGAGCATACCACAGGTCTCAGGAAGGCCTTTGAAGAAGTATCTCTCCATCCAGTCAAGTTGATGACCAAGGTTAACTACCACATGTGTTTCCAAGAGAATAGGCTCAGAAAACCCATGGTGTTTCCTACTAACTCCAGGCATGTGGTGAGTTCCGACTAGGAGAGCCCATTGCTGCAGTGTGTATGTGCATGTGTATGTGTGCAGGGGTGTGTGTGGTATGTGTGTGTGGTGTGTGTGTGTGTGTGTGTTTCTGCAGGTACATGTTGAGTCCAGAGATCAAATTTGAATGTTGTTCCTCAAGAGCCGACGACCTTATTTTGTTGTGGTTGTTTGAGACAGGGTCTCACTATGTAGTCCTGGAACTCACTGTGTAGACCAGGTTGGCCTTGAACTCAAAGAGATCTGCCTCCAGAGTGCTGGGATCAAAGGTGTGCGGCCATCACCCCTGGCCTCAGGTTCAGCTTTTTATTGAACGTGTTAACAAATGGTTTAGTCAGAAAGACTGATGCCTATGTAACTCTTGGACTCAGTCTTCCTTCTTTTCTTCCACTTCTCTTCTGCTGCTGAAGCAGGTCGACCAGCCTCTGCATCGCAGAGGAAATTCCCAATACTGCCATTGCAAGCAAGCCGGGCCAAAGTAGTCCCCCCCCCACCCCCGCTTTAATGAGGGCGTCGCTCTCATCCTCCCTGACGTGGTCACCTCATCATCATGCAGGATGAGGGCAGAATACCAGTGAGCTGAGCTGAATGAGCCAGCCCCAGGTCCTGATGAGAGACTGACTCAGAAACAAGGCGGACCTGCTGATTGAGCTCTGCTAGCTGGCTAGCAAGCCCCAGGGTGCCTCCTGTTTCCACATCTCCAGCACTGGGGTGGTACGTGTGTGCCACCACACCCAACGTTTTACATGGGTGCTGGGTATCAATCTCACTTTACCAACTGAGCTTTCTCTCCAGCCACCCCCCATTGCAAAACAAAATGCATTTAGGGATGGTGGGTTTTCTTGACTGAGCGCGTCCCTGTGGGTAGTGGTCCTCTTCCAAAGAGGATAGTTTCCTGTGAGGTAAGCCATTCTCTCTCTGGTTATTGGAGTCAGGCCTCCACTGTTTGAATGCGGTCTGGAGCCATTTACCTGTTGCTGAATTGTGTTTCCGACCTGCTCAGATCTGCCTTGTCTGAGCCCTCCTTTCTCCTGGGCCTGGAATAAACTCTGATGGGCTCTGGAACTAGCTGGTTTCTGAGCAGCTGTCTCGACATATGGCAGCATGGGAATCATACAAGTGCCATTTAACCAGTTGCCAGGCAGAGAAAGATTCCAGTGAGGTTCCTGTTTCAATGAGGCACGTGTCTTGCTTGACCCAGCCCATTTTGTCAACAGCCTTGGGTTGGAGCCAATGCCCGGGGCAGGGCAGGTAGCAGGGACTCCGGCGAAGGCACGCTTCCTCCCATGTCTCCATAGCTCCTGTACATGTGTGGGAGCCTCCTGGAGCGGCCTCTGATTCTTGTCCAGGTGGTACCCAGGTACTCGGTCATGTTGGAGCTGTTCAATACTGAACTGGACAATGCCAAGCTCATGTACGATGCTCAGATGGCAGCTTCTGCTGAGGGCAACATTCCACCCATTCACAAAAACATGCCACCCGTGGCCGGGCAGCTCAAGTGGAGCCTGGAGATGCAGGAGAGGCTGGAGGTGTCCATGAAGCACCTGAAACACATTGACCATCCGTGAGTCATGGGCTGGGCTAGAGAAGGCCCAGGCAGCCCACCATCCTCTGCTGTGGAGAAAGAATTGGTCCACCCCAAGCCCAAGAGGCCCAGCTCCACACCAGCCCAACTGCTGCAAACAAAGCCCCAGAGAAGGCCCCTCTATTCCTCCCCTTCCTGTGTCTGAGTCAGTGAGCCGAGGATACCCCTGTACTTTCACCCTTGAACCTTTCACCTGTAGCCATGTAAAAATAAGCGAAGACCTCCTGATTAGGAGCACAGAGGCTATGCACAGTGTCTGCTAAAGCAAAGGGGTCCCCTGGCCCCTATTACTTGCATTTGGCACAGGCTCCAAAGCAAGCTAGGGAGGGGACAGCTCCTCGGCAAACTTTGGGATGCTACAGGTATGCCCTGATAGCACAGGGTTGCCCGTTGCCTGAGAAGCTGGAGGCAGCAGGCCTGTGGTCACACTTGGCTGCAGACTAGTCTAGTTGGTCCTGAGTTGTAGGGGGCATGGTCAGAAATTAGGGACACTGTGAGTTCCTAACAGAGCCCTGGCTGTTAGGCTGGTTAGGGCCATTACAGCATGGATTACTGCTCGGAGTTTGCTGGGCTATCACAGATTGAGAGCTCAGAATCTATTTTTGATATATGGTCCAGTCATTGCTGTTGTGTTCATTTCCTAAAGGAACAGGTCCCTGGCTGCCTGCTTCAGTGCCCCAAGATCTGGTAGTGGCAGGGGCTAAAGAGGCATGGAAGGTGATGTCAGGGTAAAGCCGTCCTTCCTGCTCCACCCAACTCTGATCCAGGGTCATGTCCAGTGCGGAGGCCAAGCTTGTTTACGAGAAATACGATGAGATGATGGAGCTACTGCGCAGCCGCCGAGAGAAAATCTACCAGCAGTGGGTGGGCGGCGTGGACGAGAATTGCCACTTCAACCTGGGGCAGCCAATCCTTCAGCGAGACCCCTTCTCCAGCCTCATCCAGGTCAACTTCAGCAAGACGGTGGGTTCCTGGTGGGCCTCGGGGAGGTATACTGGGGAGAAGAAAGGGAGGAGGGGGGAGAAACCCTGGGCCCACCGCACTAGGACAGGCTGACCCCACCACCAATCGTGTGTGTTCATGGAGCTTGCTGTGCACTGGGGAGAAGAAAGGGAGGAGGGGGGAGAAACCCTGGGCCCACCGCACTGGGACAGGCTGACCCCACCACCAATCGTGTGTGTTCATGGAGCTTGCTGTGTGTGTCACGGGCACCTGAAGCTTTGGTAAATGTTTTTAAACGTGTCTAGGATACATTGAAGACATGAAACGAGACAGTTCCTTGAGAATACTTTTAAGGACTGGGGCGGGGGGCTCAGTGGTAGTCTTTGCCTGCTGTGCGTGAGACCTTGACTCTGAGGAGACCTTGACTCTGAGGAGACCTTGACTGAGGAGACCTTGACTCTGAGGAGACCTTGACTCTGAGGAGACCTGGACTCTGAGGAGACCTGGACTCTGAGGAGACCTGGACTCTGAGGAGACCTGGACTCTGAGGAGACCTGGACTCTGAGGAGACCTGGACTCTGAGGAGACCTGGACTCTGAGGAGACCTGGACTCTGAGGAGACCTGGACTCTGAGGAGACCTGGACTCTGAGGAGACCTGGACTCTGAGGAGACCTGGACTCTGAGGAGACCTGGACTCTGAGGAGACCTGGACTCTGAGGAGACCTGGACTCTGAGGAGACCTGGACTCTGAGGAGACCTGGACTCTGAGGAGACCTGGACTCTGAGGAGACCTGGACTCTGAGGAGACCTGGACTCTGAGGAGACCTGGACTCTGAGGAGACCTGGACTCTGAGGAGACCTGGACTCTGAGGAGACCTGGACTCTGAGGAGACCTGGACTCTGAGGAGACCTGGACTCTGAGGAGACCTGGACTCTGAGGAGACCTGGACTCTGAGGAGACCTGGACTCTGAGGAGACCTGGACTCTGAGGAGACCTGGACTCTGAGGAGACCTGGACTCTGAGGAGACCTGGACTCTGAGGAGACCTGGACTCTGAGGAGACCTGGACTCTGAGGAGACCTGGACTCTGAGGAGACCTGGACTCTGAGGAGACCTGGACTCTGAGGAGACCTGGACTCTGAGGAGACCTGGACTCTGAGGAGACCTGGACTCTGAGGAGACCTGGACTCTGAGGAGACCTGGACTCTGAGGAGACCTGGACTCTGAGGAGACCTGGACTCTGAGGAGACCTGGACTCTGAGGAGACCTGGACTCTGAGGAGACCTGGACTCTGAGGAGACCTGGACTCTGAGGAGACCTGGACTCTGAGGAGACCTGGACTCTGAGGAGACCTGGACTCTGAGGAGACCTGGACTCTGAGGAGACCTGGACTCTGAGGAGACCTGGACTCTGAGGAGACCTGGACTCTGAGGAGACCTGGACTCTGAGGAGACCTGGACTCTGAGGAGACCTGGACTCTGAGGAGACCTGGACTCTGAGGAGACCTGGACTCTGAGGAGACCTGGACTCTGAGGAGACCTGGACTCTGAGGAGACCTGGACTCTGAGGAGACCTGGACTCTGAGGAGACCTGGACTCTGAGGAGACCTGGACTCTGAGGAGACCTGGACTCTGAGGAGACCTGGACTCTGAGGAGACCTGGACTCTGAGGAGACCTGGACTCTGAGGAGACCTGGACTCTGAGGAGACCTGGACTCTGAGGAGACCTGGACTCTGAGGAGACCTGGACTCTGAGGAGACCTGGACTCTGAGGAGACCTGGACTCTGAGGAGACCTGGACTCTGAGGAGACCTGGACTCTGAGGAGACCTGGACTCTGAGGAGACCTGGACTCTGAGGAGACCTGGACTCTGAGGAGACCTGGACTCTGAGGAGACCTGGACTCTGAGGAGACCTGGACTCTGAGGAGACCTGGACTCTGAGGAGACCTGGACTCTGAGGAGACCTGGACTCTGAGGAGACCTGGACTCTGAGGAGACCTGGACTCTGAGGAGACCTGGACTCTGAGGAGACCTGGACTCTGAGGAGACCTGGACTCTGAGGAGACCTGGACTCTGAGGAGACCTGGACTCTGAGGAGACCTGGACTCTGAGGAGACCTGGACTCTGAGGAGACCTGGACTCTGAGGAGACCTGGACTCTGAGGAGACCTGGACTCTGAGGAGACCTGGACTCTGAGGAGACCTGGACTCTGAGGAGACCTGGACTCTGAGGAGACCTGGACTCTGAGGAGACCTGGACTCTGAGGAGACCTGGACTCTGAGGAGACCTGGACTCTGAGGAGACCTGGACTCTGAGGAGACCTGGACTCTGAGGAGACCTGGACTCTGAGGAGACCTGGACTCTGAGGAGACCTGGACTCTGAGGAGACCTGGACTCTGAGGAGACCTGGACTCTGAGGAGACCTGGACTCTGAGGAGACCTGGACTCTGAGGAGACCTGGACTCTGAGGAGACCTGGACTCTGAGGAGACCTGGACTCTGAGGAGACCTGGACTCTGAGGAGACCTGGACTCTGAGGAGACCTGGACTCTGAGGAGACCTGGACTCTGAGGAGACCTGGACTCTGAGGAGACCTGGACTCTGAGGAGACCTGGACTCTGAGGAGACCTGGACTCTGAGGAGACCTGGACTCTGAGGAGACCTGGACTCTGAGGAGACCTGGACTCTGAGGAGACCTGGACTCTGAGGAGACCTGGACTCTGAGGAGACCTGGACTCTGAGGAGACCTGGACTCTGAGGAGACCTGGACTCTGAGGAGACCTGGACTCTGAGGAGACCTGGACTCTGAGGAGACCTGGACTCTGAGGAGACCTGGACTCTGAGGAGACCTGGACTCTGAGGAGACCTGGACTCTGAGGAGACCTGGACTCTGAGGAGACCTGGACTCTGAGGAGACCTGGACTCTGAGGAGACCTGGACTCTGAGGAGACCTGGACTCTGAGGAGACCTGGACTCTGAGGAGACCTGGACTCTGAGGAGACCTGGACTCTGAGGAGACCTGGACTCTGAGGAGACCTGGACTCTGAGGAGACCTGGACTCTGAGGAGACCTGGACTCTGAGGAGACCTGGACTCTGAGGAGACCTGGACTCTGAGGAGACCTGGACTCTGAGGAGACCTGGACTCTGAGGAGACCTGGACTCTGAGGAGACCTGGACTCTGAGGAGACCTGGACTCTGAGGAGACCTGGACTCTGAGGAGACCTGGACTCTGAGGAGACCTGGACTCTGAGGAGACCTGGACTCTGAGGAGACCTGGACTCTGAGGAGACCTGGACTCTGAGGAGACCTGGACTCTGAGGAGACCTGGACTCTGAGGAGACCTGGACTCTGAGGAGACCTGGACTCTGAGGAGACCTGGACTCTGAGGAGACCTGGACTCTGAGGAGACCTGGACTCTGAGGAGACCTGGACTCTGAGGAGACCTGGACTCTGAGGAGACCTGGACTCTGAGGAGACCTGGACTCTGAGGAGACCTGGACTCTGAGGAGACCTGGACTCTGAGGAGACCTGGACTCTGAGGAGACCTGGACTCTGAGGAGACCTGGACTCTGAGGAGACCTGGACTCTGAGGAGACCTGGACTCTGAGGAGACCTGGACTCTGAGGAGACCTGGACTCTGAGGAGACCTGGACTCTGAGGAGACCTGGACTCTGAGGAGACCTGGACTCTGAGGAGACCTGGACTCTGAGGAGACCTGGACTCTGAGGAGACCTGGACTCTGAGGAGACCTGGACTCTGAGGAGACCTGGACTCTGAGGAGACCTGGACTCTGAGGAGACCTGGACTCTGAGGAGACCTGGACTCTGAGGAGACCTGGACTCTGAGGAGACCTGGACTCTGAGGAGACCTGGACTCTGAGGAGACCTGGACTCTGAGGAGACCTGGACTCTGAGGAGACCTGGACTCTGAGGAGACCTGGACTCTGAGGAGACCTGGACTCTGAGGAGACCTGGACTCTGAGGAGACCTGGACTCTGAGGAGACCTGGACTCTGAGGAGACCTGGACTCTGAGGAGACCTGGACTCTGAGGAGACCTGGACTCTGAGGAGACCTGGACTCTGAGGAGACCTGGACTCTGAGGAGACCTGGACTCTGAGGAGACCTGGACTCTGAGGAGACCTGGACTCTGAGGAGACCTGGACTCTGAGGAGACCTGGACTCTGAGGAGACCTGGACTCTGAGGAGACCTGGACTCTGAGGAGACCTGGACTCTGAGGAGACCTGGACTCTGAGGAGACCTGGACTCTGAGGAGACCTGGACTCTGAGGAGACCTGGACTCTGAGGAGACCTGGACTCTGAGGAGACCTGGACTCTGAGGAGACCTGGACTCTGAGGAGACCTGGACTCTGAGGAGACCTGGACTCTGAGGAGACCTGGACTCTGAGGAGACCTGGACTCTGAGGAGACCTGGACTCTGAGGAGACCTGGACTCTGAGGAGACCTGGACTCTGAGGAGACCTGGACTCTGAGGAGACCTGGACTCTGAGGAGACCTGGACTCTGAGGAGACCTGGACTCTGAGGAGACCTGGACTCTGAGGAGACCTGGACTCTGAGGAGACCTGGACTCTGAGGAGACCTGGACTCTGAGGAGACCTGGACTCTGAGGAGACCTGGACTCTGAGGAGACCTGGACTCTGAGGAGACCTGGACTCTGAGGAGACCTGGACTCTGAGGAGACCTGGACTCTGAGGAGACCTGGACTCTGAGGAGACCTGGACTCTGAGGAGACCTGGACTCTGAGGAGACCTGGACTCTGAGGAGACCTGGACTCTGAGGAGACCTGGACTCTGAGGAGACCTGGACTCTGAGGAGACCTGGACTCTGAGGAGACCTGGACTCTGAGGAGACCTGGACTCTGAGGAGACCTGGACTCTGAGGAGACCTGGACTCTGAGGAGACCTGGACTCTGAGGAGACCTGGACTCTGAGGAGACCTGGACTCTGAGGAGACCTGGACTCTGAGGAGACCTGGACTCTGAGGAGACCTGGACTCTGAGGAGACCTGGACTCTGAGGAGACCTGGACTCTGAGGAGACCTGGACTCTGAGGAGACCTGGACTCTGAGGAGACCTGGACTCTGAGGAGACCTGGACTCTGAGGAGACCTGGACTCTGAGGAGACCTGGACTCTGAGGAGACCGTGACTCTGAGGAGACCTTGACTCTGAGGAGACCTTGACTCAGGAGACTCCTTGACTCTGAGGAGACCTTGACTGAGGAGACCTTGACTCTGAGGAGACCTTGACTGAGGAGACCTTGACTCTGAGGAGACCTTGACTGAGGAGACCTTGACTCTGAGGAGACCTTGACTGAGGAGACCTTGACTCTGAGGAGACCTTGACTGAGGAGACCTTGACTCTGAGGAGACCTTGACTGAGGAGACCTTGACTCTGAGGAGACCTTGACTGAGGAGACCTTGACTCTGAGGAGACCTTGACTGAGGAGACCTTGACTCTGAGGAGACCTTGACTGAGGAGACCTTGACTCTGAGGAGACCTTGACTGAGGAGACCTTGACTCTGAGGAGACCTTGACTGAGGAGACCTTGACTCTGAGGAGACCTTGACTGAGGAGACCTTGACTCTGAGGAGACCTTGACTGAGGAGACCTTGACTCTGAGGAGACCTTGACTGAGGAGACCTTGACTCTGAGGAGACCTTGACTGAGGAGACCTTGACTCTGAGGAGACCTTGACTGAGGAGACCTTGACTCTGAGGAGACCTTGACTGAGGAGACCTTGACTCTGAGGAGACCTTGACTGAGGAGACCTTGACTCTGAGGAGACCTTGACTGAGGAGACCTTGACTCTGAGGAGACCTTGACTGAGGAGACCTTGACTCTGAGGAGACCTTGACTGAGGAGACCTTGACTCTGAGGAGACCTTGACTGAGAGGAGACCTTGACTGAGGAGACCTTGACTGAGGAGACCTTGACTCTGAGGAGACCTTGACTCTGAGGAACCCTAACACTGCACAAAGTAAAGAAGAGAAAGGAGCGCCGACAGTCGCCTTTTCATTATTTTTTTATTGATTTGATTTGATCTTGCAGTTGTGGGTTCTGAACCCAGGACCTCATTCATGCAAGGCACGTGCTGTACCACTGAGCTGCATCCCCGGACCTCTTTACATTTTTGTGTAGAGGCTGGATCTCACTAGGGCGCCCGGGCTGACTTGGAATTCATTCTGAAGCCCAGGCACGTCTTCTGAACTTCCTGCTGTAGACTTTTGTTTGTTTGTTTTTGAGACAGGGTCTCCCTGTAGCCCCAGCTGACCTTAAACTCACTATGTAGACCAGGCTGGCCTGAATCTCACAGAGATCCACCTGCCTCTGCCTCCCAAGTGCTGGGATTAAAGGTGTGTGCCACCAGGCCAGCTACTGTGGACTTCTGAGCAGCTGTGATGACAGGTCTACACCTCCAGGTCTGGCTTCATGTGCTCCCAAGAGGAAATAGGAATTTGAATTTAGAACAAAGAAAAGTCACTTCAGGACCTAGAGAGAAGGGCCAGCTGCCCAAGATGGCATGCTCCAGTGCTGAACCTGGATGGTTCAGATGTGCACACGGGGACGGAAGCCGAGTGGGGCTGAGTTCCTACACTCTCTGCCTCATGACCTGTCCTGCCTGGACTTGGCCAGTGACACAGGAACAGGGACACCAGAGGGGAGTGTGTCCTTTTACTAAAATTCACACTTTCCTTCAGAACACATTGACTGAGCACCTGGTCTGGGCACATGCTTGGTAAACACCAATAGCTGGTGTCTCTTCTGTCCTCCTGGGGCTTTCCAGGTTCAGGAAGGGGAGGCAGAGGGAGGGAGCAGAGAGCGTATGAGCTGGTAGCTGAGCAAAGAGGGGGAGAGTACTGCTGGGTGACCTGGGTCCCTCAGGAAGAGGAGGAGGTCAGGTGAGGAGGGAGGACAGGGCTGGAGGAGGGGTCAGATAACACAGCTTGCAGGAGGTGAGAGACTGGCTTTTGAATAGAGCAGACTGGAACAGAAAAGGCTTGTCTGTGGCAAGGAGTGAAACAGGAGGCAAGTGGGATGGGGGGGTGGGAG